GACCCCTGCCACCCCCAGTGCTCCTTCCTGCCCATGGCAGGGGGGCAGACTTGATGATCTGTCTAGGTCCCTCCCGACTCAATGATTCTGTGATTCTATGATTCTATAATAATATTGCTTGGACATGCAAGGATGAAAACAGGAAGGCCAAAGTGCAACTGGAATTGCAACTGGCAAGGGACATGAAGGGTAATGAGAAGGGTTTCTACAAGTATGTCAGCAACAAGATTAGTAAGGAACCCATGCTTTCCCTGATCAATGGGGGAAGCAACCTATAGTGACAGAGGATGCAGACAAGGCTGAAGTGCTCAATGTCTTTTTTACAGATTCATAGGTGCTAGGGTTGGAAGGGACCTCAATGGATCGAGTCCAATCCCCTTCCAGTGGCAGGAAAAAGTGCTGAGGTCAAGCAATCCCAGCCAAGTGCTTGTCTAGTATCTTCTTGAAGACCCCCAAGGTAGGGGAAGAGCACCACCTCCCTTGGAAGCCCATTTCAGATTCTGGCAACCCTCACCATGAAGTTTTCCGACGTCCAACCTAAATCTACTCTCCATCAGCTTGTGGCCGTTGTTTCTGGTTATTCCAAAGGGTGCTCTGGTAAACAGAGCATCTCCTACTCCCTGCTGCCCCCCTGGTGAATTTGTATACTGCCACAAGATCACCCTTTAGCCTTCTCTTGCGGAGGTTGAAAAGGTCCAGGATCCTCAGCCTTTCTTCATCGGACTTTCCCTGCAGGCCTCTAAGCGTATGACTAGCCCTCCTCTGGACCCTCTCAAGGTTGTCCGCATCCTTCTTGAATTGCAGCACTCAAAATTGGATGCAGTACTCCAGCTGCAGCATGACCAGTGCACCACATGGAGGGGGAGCATCGTGATGCACCTACTAATGCGTGGTCAGCTCTGCTAATTACTTTGTCACATTCATGACCCATATTCATCTTGGAGAAAACAATGACTCCAAGATCTTTCTGCCGTTGTTCTGCTGAGGTCATCCCCCGGCCTGTAAACATGCTGGTGATTCCCACTCCCTGGGTGCAGCACCTTGTACTTGTCTTTGTTGAACTGCATCATAGATTTCAGGAGGGCAAACTTCAATGAGCTAAGGAGAATAGTCAGGGAAGCACTGAGGTCCCAGAGGGGAGGGGAGCCAGGTGTCCAAGGAGAGTGGTCACTCCTTAAGGAGACGATCCTCCAAGCCCAAAGGGAGGTAATCCCAACGCGGATCAAAGGGAGCACTTTTGTCCCCAGTGTTAGTGAAGTTTTCTTGAGTTTCATTGATGAACCAGGAAGAGGGGTAGGAGATAAGCTAGCGGGATGCTTAGAAGCCATAATGGGGATGGCAACTACAGAAACACATCTCGCAGACAATGAGCGAGGAAAACAAATCCACACAGGAGACTATATTTTGGTGCATGTCACTCCCACAATGCATCGCACAAAGCAGCTGACTGCAGGATTCCACCACACCTATCACGTAAGAGCGAACTTACCTCACATATAATGAATTTTTGGTATAAAAAGCGTCATTGCATAAGAGCGAATTTGCACATACAGAACCTGCGTAAAGTGAGAGAAACGTGTATTTTGAAAAGTTGGATGCGTACAAGTTCACAGGGCCAGATGTGATGCAACCAAGGGTGCTGAGGGACTTGGCTGATACGACTGTAGAGCTGCTGGGCATCATCGTTGGAAAAAAAACTTGTGACTGGCAGAAGTCCTGGATGATTGGAAAAGGGCAAATATAGTGCCTATTAAGAAAGGGAAGAAGGAGGATCCAAGGAACTACAGGTCAGTCAGCCTCACCACAGTCCCTGGAAAAATGATGGAGCAGATCCCCAAGGAATCCATCTCAAAGTACTTGGAGGAAAAGGTGGTGATTAGGAGCAGTCAGCATAGACTCACCAAGGGCAAGTCATGCCTGACCAACCTGACTGCCTTCTATGATAAGATGACTGGGTCTATGGATGCAAGGAGACCAGTGGATGTGGTATAGCTTGATTTTAGCCAGGCTTTTGATACGGCCTCCCACAGCATTCTCACAAGCTAAGGAAGTCTGGGCTGGATGAATTTACTGTAAGGTAGATAGAAAACTGGCTGTATCATCAGGCTCAGATGGTAGCAGTCAATGGCTAGATGCCTATTTAGCAGTCAGTATCAAGTGGGAGTGCCCCAGGGGTTGGTCCAGGGGCTGGTTTTGTTCAGTACCTACACCAATGACCTGGAAGATGGGATGGAGTACACCCTCAGCAAGTCTGAAGATAACACTAAGTTGGGAGAAGTTGTAGATATGCTGGAGAGTAGAGCTAGGATTAAGACAGACCTAGACAAACTGGAGGACTGGGCCAAAAGAAATCTCATGAGGTTCAATAAGGACAAGAGCAAAGTCCTGCATGTAAGACAGAACAATCCCAAGCACCAGTGCAGGCTGGGCAGCAGCTCTGCAGAAAAGGACCTGGGGGCCACAATGGACAAGAAGTTGAAAGTGAGCCGACAGTGTGCCCTTGTTGCCAAGAAGGCTAACAGCATTCTGGGCTGCATTGGTAGGAGCATTGCCAGCAGATTGAGGGAAGTGATTATTCCCTTCTGTTCGGCACTGGTGAGGTCACATCTGGAGCCCTGTGTCCAGTTTTGGGGCCCCCACTACAGAAAGGATGTGGACAAATTGGAGAGTCCAGCATAGGGCAATGAAAATGGTTAGGAGGCTGGGACACATAACTTGTGAGGAGAGGCTGAGGGAGCTGGGGCTATTAGTCTGCAGAAAAGGGGGATTTAATAGCAGTCTTCAATTCCCTGAAGAGTTGTTTGAAAGAGGATGGAGCTGGACTCTTCTCAGTGGGGGCAGATGACAGAACAAGGAGCAATGGGCTCAACTTGCAGCAAGGGAAGTTTAGGTTGGATATTAGGAAAAACTCTCTCATGAGGAGGAGAGTAAAATACTGGTCCAGGTCACCCAGAGAGGTGGTGGAATCCCCATCTTGGAGGTTTTTAAGACCCAGGTAGACTCAGCCTTGGCCAGGATGACATAGTTGGGGCTGGTCCTGCTTTGAGCAGGTGGTTGGACTAGATGTGACCTCCTTAGGTACCTTCAACCCTCATTATCTATGATTTTATGATCATCTCATTGCAGACATGGCAGAGCCAATCCAGCAACTTACCAGAAACAACCGCCCCCAACAGAGAGAGCATGTCCCGTTTACATTGATCCAGCGCAAAGAAAAGGTAACACTCTTCTTTACTGGTACTTTAGTAGCTTATATATTTGAATATCTGAAGTGAGTACACAGACAGAAAAGTTAAGCCGCTTATGTACTGCAAGACAAAAAAGGTAACTGAAATCTTGAGGAAACAGGACTGCTCCCACCAGTCCCCAAAAAGTTAAAAAAAGAGAGGAGAGCACACAGTGAGTGGTGTCAATATATGCAGAACGTACATTACGTAAATCTAAAAACAAACCTTGCATGTGAACACCCTGCATCCATGGCCAAAAGTCTATTTAAATTACAAGAAAAATCTGAAAACATATTTTCCACATTGCCTTTTTCAAACTGATTGAAAGTCACATTGGCTTTATATACCAAGGTCCAAGCTCAGCGTTCTTTTCCCCCCCACTGTGAATTCAGAATTATGAATAATCTCTTTCAAAAACAAGTAAAAGGAAAATATGCTCCAAACTCCTATTGTAACTTTAGTAGCCAGATCTTCTGACTCATGGTTTTAATGAGTCTTAGTGATGTGGTTTTTCAGCCTGGCATTTTGAAAACACAAGCCCTTCTCACAGTGGTTGGGCACTTTGATCCTCTTTCAATTAATATTTATGAGAGTCACAAAGGTTCTCCCCTTTCCACAAAGGAAGGGTTAACAAATACTTGTGCCTATCTGTCTATACATGTCATATCTAGTATGAAAGGATACTCATAACGACTTCCACAAGCCACATGTAGAAGATAAATTTAAGGAATTCAGGTTCTAATTTAAACAAACACAGACAACCTCTTTAGATGCATCAAGACCTTGTCATCTAGTGTTATACTGCAGCGACTACAGCTGTGTCTTAAGCACCTTCATATAGAAAGCAGTTAAAAAAGCAACTTATTTTCCATAAACTTTTCCCCACAACTTCTGTACCAGCAGTGACAGCACCAAAGAGTGAAAACATTTGAGCAGCAGAACCAATAAAGATCTGGGTTCCAAACTGTCTTGTAAGAACTAGTAACAGTGAAACAGAAGCAAGCAGGAAGTCACTGTCCTATTTCAAGCTAATGAACTCCAGCTAGTGAACCATGTAATATTGAAGCTGATCTCAAAGAATAAAGCATCTTCATTTGCTATCCCAAATGTACATTTTGACAGCTTTTACAGTTTAAAGCAGGGGATGGCACCCTGTCAGAATGGCAGACTGCCAATCCCCTCTACATCCTCCCAAGAGAACAGCCCTGGGCAGAAAGCAGGGTGGGCTGGAGCACTGCAGAGGGGATTGGTGACACATCAGGTGACACCCTATGCCACCAATCCCCAGCACCATGGGCCAGATCCAATTCTTGGCTGGATCTAATCCATTTCTTCCTGTAAAAGAAAAAGGAAATGGCAATCTACACTATACACTGAGAAGAACTACACATCATATTAAGGCTTGGAGCACAAAACAAGATGGATGATTATTTAAGAGAGTTAATGGATGAAGAAAAATGAGATGAGACAAAACTAAAAGAAAACAGAAGGCCTGCTGGGTATCCAACTAAAATACCTACTCAGGTTGGTGATCTGTTAAATGCCTTAAAAATATTAAAAACAGCAAAAGAATAACTGTCCACTGCACACAATTCATTACAACCATTTCAACAGGTTAACAAGGCCCGTGATATTCCCTACTTCTACGAATCTATGAATCACTCATATGAGTTTGAAGATAATGCAACTGGTTTTGGGAAAAAACAAACTAGGGAAACTTGCAAAACATAAACATTAGAGTTGCAAAGTTAAGCAGTTGGTTTGGAAATTCCAGAATTAAGGTTTCCCATTTAAACTTAATTCACCCCCCTCATATATTATGAGACAGTAACAAATAACATGACCACAAACTACCTTTCAATGGGACTCCAGTCTCATTCTGTACACAAGCAGGGCAGTGGTTTTTTAAAATGAGCATCTATTTAATAGGATACTATAAAGGCCACTAGAACCTCAAAACATCCATTAAAAAAAATCAGTTATGACCAAGACAGATTCAGCAGTAAAACTGTCACATTTTTACGCATCTCGCAAGATGCAGCTTAATGCAAGTCACTAGTTGTTCTTTTCATTGTTCTGCCCTTATACGGATTTGCTGTTTTCCTTGCAAGGTGAGCAAACCATTTGACTTAAAAGAAAACACCGGTGCTTTCGGCTGATGAACTACCTTTCCTATAGCTTAATGTCAAACTAAAATATCAGTTCATTGTCTGGCTTTGTTTGCAGCATGGAGAGCTGCTTTACGAAAAACGTCAGTATGGAAAAGCCAAATGGGCTTGTATTACAATGAAAGAAGAACAGTACGAACAGAGTATATGCCTGGGATTTATGAAGCTTATGAAATACATTTGTGAGCAGAACTGTTCAGGTAACTGCGGGTAACTCTTCTGCATCAGAATAAGAATGCAGCCCTTCCCATGAATTTTAAGATGATCTACGCCAATCGCTTCTAAATACACAACTCTCCAGAGATCATTCAGTTCCCAGCTAGACCACCAATCCAGTCAAAATAGACAAACAGATCAGACTACCACCACCACAGTCAAGTGATTCTGCAACACCTTATCAATAACATGCTGTTTGAGGCTGGACTGCCTGTTTTTGTACACTACCTGGCACTTTGAAATTTGCCAAACTAAAAAAATACTTTTAAAACAATTTTAAAAGGGTATCTGGTATTATTTCTATTTAATATAGAAATATCAAATAGATGTTTCTAATTAATAGAACAGAGTTTAAAGAGTGTTTGAAGACAATTAAGAGTGCAAGGCCCAAAAAAATATTGGATCATCAAGTCCAACCATTAAATTCCACGTAGGTACATCTGTACTGATACCTATTACTTATTTGCTTAAAATGCATCTTCCAGACAGGCCATCCAATCTCAAGCTGAACACCAATTTCCTGTTCAAATTTGTTTAGTTTCAACTCTGAGACATCATTTCTTGTTATGCCTCTCTCTCCACTAGATTAAAATGCCCTTCAGTACTCACTTTTCTGGGAAGTTACTCCTGTGCTGCAATCAAGTCCTTTGTCTCTCTTTTTCCCCTGAAAAGCTAAGCAGATTTGGCACCAAGCTTCTCCCACTGAGGCACCGTCTCCAACCCTAAAATAATTTTTCTGGGCTCTTTCCCAAACCTTCTCTAAATTTCTAAAAAAAATCAGAACAGTCTACAATATTACAGTACCCATCTCAGTGCTTCATACAGAAGTAACATCATCTATTTCTCTCACTATTCCTGCATTAATACTTTCAAAGGTTGCATTACCCCTCTTTCTTCTCCCACAGCATGGTATTTGGAACACACGGTGAGCTGCTCGGTAACTCAAACCAGTAAATCCTTTCCTAAGGCCCTACTCTCCAAGGTGCAGTCCCCATTCTGTAGGAATGATCTGCATTTCTTGTTCCTAGATATACAAAATTTTGCATGTGGCTGGGTTAAAAACACAAAAAAACCCAAGCACGTAAGATATGTGCAAACTTGCCAGATTAAACTTGGTAAAAGCCAAGTGTTCAGCATTAAGGGGAGGGCAGCTCTCAGAACACAAGGTTTGACATTGGTACTGCATTTCAAAGCACAGGATGATACCGATAGCCTCCAACTATCCATACCATGGCTGCCATTTTTAAAACCCACTGAATTCCATTCTGCTATAGGACCTTGCCTGTTGCATGATGCTTTGATTCATTAAAAATTGAGTTTAGTTTATTTAGCACAGGTTAAAAATTCATGCATATAGAATACAAGAGTTCTACCTCTGTTCTCCAACGTAATGGTCATATATTTCTCTTCAGGTTTGTACCTTGGCTTAACTATACCCATTGTGACTATAGTGCACACAAATGAATATCGATCTGAGATCACACGTTCTGTGACAGTAGCATACTACTTGCCTGAACAATTGCAGGGGCAACCACCTCAGCCATCGGATCCCAACATAGTCATTGAAGAGTGGCCTCCTACTATTGTGTACAGTAGGTAAGAAATATTTTAATCTTGTTGAAATAAAAGCATAAGTGGCACAAGTTCCATTCTAGCCACATATTTCAATTCAAATACTAAAACCTAATAAGTGGACCTCAGGGTTCAATGTCTATGTTAAATACTTCTGTTTTAGATACTTAGGTATTTGGAAAATATCTGTTTCACATTCTACAGTTTGGGGCTGAGGTTACAAGGTACTTGACATTTTTTTTTAAAGTAAATTAGTAGCAGTCATATTCCACTCCTCATCCAGTTTCTCTCATAGGGTAGTACAATGGGAGACATTACAGCTGACAAGTCTAAATATTAATTTAAACAAAACTATAGCAGCTACAACCTACAGAGCAGGAGTGGTATCATCTAAGAATCACCACAGAACTGGGAAAGGGAGATAAGCTTCTGGAATTAGGGGGTCTCCAAGGAATACATCTATTATAGAGTAGACTTCAATTTAAACTTGATTGATGCAGGAGCTTCCAAGGGGTCATCAATGAAATGTCTATCATGAGAGAAATAAACTTGCTGGAAGAACTTCTGGAAAGTCCTGAGCTATGTCTGGAGGACACGTTCATCATTGCGGGATACACCAACCCAGCGGCGGTGGTGAGACACAATGAAATATGGTTCCTACAAAGACCATAGCTTCCCACTGCTGATGCCTACCCATTATCCAACTTCAGTTTTTATTTAAGCTTGCAAGTGAATCACATGAAAGAGTTAATGAAAACTGTGGATAATTATTCACATATTTATATGACTATTTTTCTAAAATATATCTCATTGCATCAAATTACCATGACAGGTATTTAACTTACTTCTTCAGGTGGTAATGGTTAACACCTGAAACTTGCTGCCAATTTTGAAAGAATTTCTTAAGCACAATTTCCTATTAAATATTTAACTTTTTACAGTTATACACAATTTTTCAACACTTTTCAGAATTGATCCCTGTTGTTTTTCAAACAAGCTGAACTCAAATCACAAGACAGAATAGTTCACAAGTTAATATATTTTTTAACAGCAAAACCTGCTGTTGAACATTTACTATAATAGCTTTTGCATTATTGTATCTCTGGAGTGTCCTAAATAGGAAGGGAAAATTAACTAATGCAATTCTGACAACACTGATTAGTTTTGAGAATTCCACCATCAAGAACAGATTCCTCCTACTCATCTCAAAAGCCATTTATCCAAAGTATTTTTCACCTTAGGAAGAGTGCGGGATGTGAGGACTGTCCTATTACTCATTCAAGGCTTGACAACAAGTATTTTTCTTAACCCCATTATCACTATTCATTTGACTGAATGTGCCATCAGCAGACAGAAGGCAAGCATTGCTGCTAGTCAAATATTCCATTTTCTAAACATAAAGAAACATGAACTTCAGAGCCAATCTAAGTTGCACGTTGATTAATTTAGAAGGCTGGTGTTAAAATAAGAATCTATTCTAACTACAAAATTAAAACCATAAATGTAGAATGACAAGAATTACTGTATTAAGGATTACTAGCATAATTTATTGCCTCTTAAAAAAATCATTAGGTCAATTTTAATTCTGCAGCTGAAAGGGTTTTCCCCCCACCACCTTACAGAAAATATTTAAGTTTATAGTTTAATACTACTACTATTATAGTACTGTAAAAATGAACATCTTAATACATTCTGGAATATAATTATTATGAGAGAATTTTGAGCTTGGAAATATATTTTGTTTAGGAATTTCACTTCCTAGTACATCCAAAGAAATCTAGATTTTATGGGCTAAACTCGTAGCTTCACTGAATAAGAAATGTAGTAAAGTACTATAAAATTGTAAATAATTTTCATAACTAAATTTTATCTGGTACAAGATTTAGATCAACTCAAGCACGTATATTGTGATTTTTGATCATGACAATATATAGCATAAATTATTCAAAGTTAATGTATTATTTTCTTATTGTAACACATGAGTAAAAGTGATGTTTATTTGTGATTAGATGTATAGACAGCCACTGGAAATTTTCTCCTAAATCAGGTTAAGACTCTCATTCCCTGGTATTCAGCACAATGCAGATTTTTTCATTGTTTAATGAAAAACAAATTCTGACAGACCTATAATAACCAAGTTCTTCCTCCTGCATCCGATTTAAATTTTTAATAACTCAAAGTAGTATTTTAAAATGCCAAATGAAATATTTTACAGAAGTTGAAATATATTGTTCACAAGAGTTAACATACACAGAAATATTCTGAAACCCAGCAACAGTTTTCTTACTGTACAATTGCAAACAGGTAATGTAGTCAAGCAGCTAACTGCATGAATGAAAATAATTTTCAAATTATTTTTAGCTGGTGTTTCAGTACTTCTAATGAGCAAATAGGCCAATATTGATGTGCGACTACCATCTGCATCGTGGAGTGTATTGCTTTCAAAGTAGAGCTTTTTGACAGAGTAGGTGTGAAAGAACCTTTGCAATTAAAAGATATGGAAAATCAATTCTCAAAGCCCATTCCATATCTCAAAGATATGGAAATTCATTTCAAAGCACATTCTGTTAAATTTAAATAAAATGGTGACAGCTACCAAGCGAAGTATTCCTTTTCTCCCAAATATGTAAATGTCATAATTGTCTTAAAAATCATGGTACTTTCCATGCCATAAAATATGCTAGATTTGCATTTTCAGGCTTGAACTGTTTTAGCAAGCATGGTCAAGAGAGTAATCAAGGCACCCTCTTGTGGCTGCAGAGGATCAAGGGAGAGTAAAGACAATGCATAATAAGGGGAGGCGATGGGGAAATAGCCTGTCACAAATCTCACCATGTGCTAATTTTTTACTGATTACTGCCTCATAGCTTGAAGAGCAATTCAGTATTACTTTGCATCCAGTTGTAGAAATTGTTGTTGCTTCCCATCTATTTCCCACTTAAAGTTAGTGATATACTGTTAATAATGACAACAACAGTGGAAGTGTTTAATGTTATTTTATGCAAAAATAAAGGATCTATGTATCAAGTTAGTATTTATTTTTACCTGTATTAAATTGTTTATACTGTTGAGAATTAATCAATCCTAAATTTGAAGATACAGTGTATGACCACTGAAGACTGCTCATTTATTAGACTACTCTTACAGTAAGGGATGCTATGAACCATGTTTTCTCATGTATTGCACAGATTTACAAAGCAGTCTATATATAAGCACATTGACAAAAGTTATGAAATGTTACCACGACAAATACATGCATCAACATCCAAGGCAGCCTGAACCTCTGCTAAACCAGAAAATTCATTTTCCAACCCTGCTACTTAGTTTCTCTCAACTGAATAGGCATTTTATTGTATTGCTCTTTTAGTTGCAATACTTCAAACCATTAAATAATTAATATTTAATTTGATATTTAAATAGCTGATACAATACACCTAAAAGTAGCTCTAACTAGACATAATTCACCTGATCAAATCTGAGTAGTTTGAATAACTCAGCCTTAAAAAAATGTTGTCCTGCCTACTATGCATTTTCCAAACAAATATTAGTGCCTAAAAAGTTTGATCTGGTTATTGTGACATTCAGGGCCCTTCTTATTGTATAAAAATATGTATAACTGTGTAGTTATATTTATATCAGTTCCATAAGTACAGTGGGATTTCCCCAGCTTTGCTGAATGGCTGCTGTGTTGTTTTATGCTGTATTTCATTTTCACTGAAACTTGTATCTTGTTTATTGTTACAGTTTTCAAAAATAAAGCTAAGATTTTATTGTGCATAGAGTGTATCTGGGTCCAACCTTTCAGAATTGGCTTACAAATTCACTCTATTAAAGGGTCAGCACAAATAGGAGGCTGGACAGACTACATATTTACACTGATGTAATCTATACTGGTTTTGTACACTCATGTGAGAGAGAGATGCAAAAAAAGGATGGACCCAGCAATTCTGTGCAACTACCAGCAGTAGGTGCTATTATGGCAGCCAGCCACCAGGTAGTGGACAAGCAGATCATCACCTGCTTATATTGAGCAAGCTGCTACCCCTGGCTGAAAGCAGACTGATCACACCAGGGGCTCTCTAGCTCAGGGACAGGGCATCCCTTGATCACTTTTTTTTTTTTTTTT